TTGGCCTCAGCCAGGCTCATGAGGCTCATAAGGCTCATGAGGCTGCGGGTTTTGTGTAAAATCCCCTCTCAGGTGTAGAATTGGTAGTTCCACGCTTTTCGAAGAAGCAAAGAAGCAGAGACAATTTGTGTTCTCGCCCCCCTTTTGAGATGGTCCAAGCTTGCCTCTTGTGACCTTTTGGTTTCCTAGTTTCGATCCAATGGTCAAATAATACCACGTGATTCCCATGGGCTTGGGTTGATCAAGGCTCGGGGGGTTGACTTTGCTTAACGCCCGCTTTCCACGGGCGCGCTTTGCTGCAATTCAGATTTTTGGAAGAGAAACAATCATCGGACAGTTCTCCTCGTAACTTTCTATCCCCTTTCCCCACCCAATAGAGACTTCCTATTGAAAGTGGATTTGGTTTGCTCTCTCTCTCTTAATGGGTTGCGCATAGACTCAACAGGTTTTCATAGTTGCGGATGTTTTATTTTGTTCTTCTTCTTTTTTTCCGCCTGGTTGAGGGAGGAGTCGAAAGAGGGGAGGGGTGCCAGGCTGGGCTGTGGCTGAGGCCCAAAAGCGGAGCCGCCGCAGAGGATAAGGCCGGTTCCGGGACACCTTTTCGACCATCGTTCTGAACCAAAAAAAAGGCTTTTTTTCTGGGTTTTTGAGGGTTTCCTGGAAGGATCCCTGGACAGAATGGGGAAGGTGGCCCTAGGTTGGTGGGGAAGTGGTTGGGGAGCGGGTGAGGGGGCGGGGGGGAGGTGGGGCGTTTGGTGTTTTTGGGGGGGAGGGTTGGGGGGGAAGCGGTTGGGGGGGTTGGGTTCGCAAGGTGCTGTGTGTGGGTCCAAATTACACTAGGGGACCGCAGGTAGTCCATGAGGGTTCTATTTCGGGTACCCTCTTCTATCACCCACAGCCAGGTGATGGGATCCGAGAACTCGGAGCTGGAAGCGGAGGTCATCGAGCTGGTGAGGAAACAGCTGGCCCAGCCCGGTCGCAGGGGCTTCGTTTGGACCTTCGGCCGGAGAAAACGCGCCGGGATGTCAAGGAGTCAGACCCTTTGTGACCTTCCCAGGGAGGGGCGCGGTTATTTTTAGTTGTTTTTTTGGAGTTATCACTTGGTGGCTCCCAGCCATCCGGTTCCTTAGCTTTTTAGCCTTTTAGTGTTTAGTGGTAGTTTCCATTTAACCCACTAAAGGTTAGTCACTTTGAGCGGGGGATCTGAGGGCAGCCCAGATCAAAGTCAGAAACTGGTGGTTGCTTCCCTTCAACCAACCAACCACTGGGGTGGCTTTGAGAATGGTAAACACACATGTGGTCAGTGGATGGACAGCTGCTTTTTGCAGCTGTGACGGTTAGGGTAAAATGTTTGGGAAAACATGAGCAACTTTTAGCTTGGCTATGTAGGTGTCTGAGCAGGGAAACTGTCCAAAACAGTCTCCGCTATTTTGAGACGAACCCATATGCTGGGCAGCAAATTGGGGTGTCTGTTGTGGAGGGTACCCTTTTTACCATACACGAACCCATACCTTGCCGCATGAATGCCGGCTAAGCCGTCTCTGAGTGAGTCTGAATGAAAGGTTGTAGCACATGGCCCTTTTCTGCGAGTGGCCAAAGTGAGCATTCCTCAATGCCACTGCCGCAAGCAGACTTCCCTCGACCAGAGAATGGTAGCCCAAAACCCCAAAAATGACACACGCCAAGCATTAGCAGTTGATTGGGGATCATGATTTCGCAAAAGCCACCCAGCAAGCGGTAAGCCAAGCAACACAGTTTCTCTGACCTTGAGAAACGTTCGATTCCCGTCCATCTCGCTCGTGCTCACTCTCACTCTCGCTTTCTCTCGCTTTCTCTCGCTTTCGCTCTCGCTCTCGCTCTCGCCCTCTATCTCGCTCTCGCTCTCGCCCTCTCTCGCTCTTGCTCTTGCTCTTGCTCTCGCTCTCGCTCTCGCTCTCGCTCTCGCCCTCGCCCTCTCTCTCGCTCTCGCTCTCGCTCTCGCTCTCGCTCTCGCTCTCGCTCTCGCCCTCGCCCTCTCTCTCGCTCTCGCTCTCGCTCTCGCTCTCGCTCTCTCTCTCTCTCTCTCCCTCTCTCTCTCTCGCTCTCTCTCTCTCTCTCTCTCTTTCTCGCTCTCTCTCATGTCGTTTTGAATCGGCAAATCTCAAAAGGTTTCCCCTTTTGCAGCGTGGAGTCTACATCTTGTGATCTGAATCCGGGTTGACCCGAAAGCAAAACCAACGGGGGGTAATCACCTGTAGAAACGGGGATAACGTGGGGTAAAAAAGCAAATTACAGAGGACGTCCACCTTTACAAGCATACTTGTCCTTTTGCTTGTTTAATAGAAAATAGATGTCCCTAGTTGACCTGGTTGTTTTATGATTTGTCAGGGCCATCTAGTTTCCCAAAAGGACACCCATGTTTAGAAGCCAACGCATGACTTCGGCACCCAGGATCGACCAATGGAACGAGAAATACCAGAAGCAGCTGGGGAACTTGCGCGCGTTCCTGGAGAGCCAGCCAGCGGGGGGCCAAAGCGAGCTCTAGTCGAGGTTCATGTTTGAGATGGTTTATCTATCCTTCCTCTCATTTTTTTTGAGGTGCTACTAATGGTGTATCTAGATGGAGCATATAGATGTTCTATTTTGTTTTTCACCATTGGGTTCTTTGGACCGCCCCCATTGTGTTTTCGTCGTCCAATTGTTGGAAGCAGCACTTGGGTAGTTGGGTTTCAGGTTCTTATTTGAAACAAACCACACTGCACAAAGCATCTTTGTTTTGAAAAGCCTAGGGGCGGTCAGTTCCCAAAAGGGAACACCCATCGAGGGAGTCAAACAATTTGGAACCGCGACCTTGAGAAAGCGGTTGCCAGTGCTCGTCGTACTCCCTCCAGCGAAACAACCTGCCCTCCAAGAGCATTTGAGTACACATGAATAAGCAACAAGTGAACAAAGTGTACACATTTATTAAAATTCGAAAATAATAATAATAAAAAACAACACAGCATAGAATTGAACTCTTTCATATAGATAAATAGTTGATAAATGAACAAACAAATAAACTAAGTATGCAAATAAACAACAAACTAATACACATACATACGTACGTACATACATACATACATTTTTTTTTAAGTAAATACCCAAATAAATAACTAGATATATCAAACAATAAGCTAAATCAATTAGTAAATGAATTAATAAGGACCGGAAAACCCCGCATGCCTGGCTTTTTGAAAAGCGGGGCCCTTGCTTGGTGTGTTTCATAGTGAATATTTCATGTTAACGAGTGAGTGAGTGAGTGAGTGAGTGAGTGAGTGAGTGGGTGGGTGGGTGGGTGGGTGGGTGAGTGAGTGAGTGAGTGAGTGAGCGCAGCTTCCGGAAATCCAAAGTACTGCGCCTGCCATGAAAACAGACCGGCGACCGAAGCCGACCGCTCCGCACAGACCAGTCTTAAGTACTGCGCCTGCCACGCAAAATAGCACCAGCATGCACGAAGTACTGCGCCTGCCACGAAAACAGAAAGGCGCTGAGGCTTACCGCTTCGTAAAGTTGGCGAGTGTAAGTTGAGCGAGTGAAAGTCAGTACAGTATGTGTAAGTTAGTGTACGTTAAGTGAGCGAGAGTAAGTACGTGTAAAGTGAGAGTAAGCATGTGTAAATGGAGTGAGTGGGAGTGAGAGTGGAAAGTCCGCGAGAATAAGTTGAGTGAGTTAGAGCACGTATGTGTACTTATAGTGGGTGGGAGTGCGAGTGGCTGAAAGTAAGGCAGCGCAAGTTGAGTGAGTGAGTGAGTGTGTGTGTGAGTTGGGTGAGGTAGAGTGAGAGTGGTTGAAAGTCAGAGTGAGTGAGATTGAGAGCAGAAGGGGAGGAGGCGGCAGAGGAGGAAGCAGGAAGGAGGAAGGAGGAGCAGGAAGGAGGAGGGTGAGGAGATTGGCGCGGAAGAGGACACTACAAACAAGAACCCCACACAAGAGTGTTGGGAATAAGAACATGCAGATAGACAGATAGATAGATAGATAACAACCAACCATACAAAGACACCAACACAAGTGCAAAAACAAGCAAGCGGGCAGGCAGGCAGGCAGGCAGGCAGGCAGCAGGCAGGCAGGCAGGCAGGCAGGCAGGCAGGGAGGTAGGCCAAAAAGCAAACCAGCAAGCAAGCAAGCGAGCGAGCGAGCGAGAGAAGCAAACAAACAAGCAAGCAAACAATGAAAACACCACAGCAACTAAATACACGCACAAACAAAAGCACAAATAGGCAAACAACACAAACAATCAAACAAAAGGGCATGCCATGGCATGTGGCAGTTATCCCAAATGCAACTGGCAGTTCAAATGGTTGGCCAACAGCCCATGGCAGCTCATGGGAACTAAGTTTCAAGAGTGAAATCGGCTCAAGTTAGAATTGGGCAGGTTGTTCCAATTAGTTCATTATTACATCACATTACCATGATGGCAGGCGGATTGCGATTAAGTGTGAATACATCCGACATGATTATTGGAGAAAAAGTTCAAGCTAAGTTTTAGAAATGCATTTTATGAGTTGTTACAAGGCTGGAGACCACGTTCAAAGGCATACCTGCCTGATTTATGAGCATATGAGCATGATGTTCACTAGTAGTCTTGAAAGCAATGATGTTCATTAGACTGGGGATGATGCCATGGTTTTACAATTCACAGGCCCCGGCCCCCAGCAAGGGAAAACGTTTTTACCTATTACCTATTACCTACTATACTCGCTGTGTGAGGCAGCTCAAATTTGCCTATTCACTATGTCACTATGTGACTTAGGGGTGACCTGCAGCGGCAGTGGTCCGCCCTTTTTGCGCCAAACACGCCGCTCGGTCCAATGTCCAACAGCCACGTCCTGGCAACGCACGAAATGGCCGGGCGACCCAAGGCGAATGTGCCTCTGCATATGATCGACTTTCATGGCAATGGGACTGACAGTCAGCTGTCAACAAGTCGACTCAATCATCGTGATGTCAGTTACCACCCACTGCCTATAAATTAGTTTGGGACAATCAGTTGGGGAAAGGGCGCCACCACTCAGTTCATAGAGGCAGCGCGAACTGACTTCGGACCCTCTGGCCTGCAGTTGGAGACCGCCAGCAATGCCTGACAGGCTCAAGCTCAATGAGCCACTGCGAAGCCCACAGTGCGCAAACGTCAATCAATGTCATTGAGCCTGCTGCCACGCAATGTTTTTTCCACTCTCTCACAGCTCACCCCGAATTGGCCGGGGATGTGGGCACGTAAGGTGGGGACGACATTCCGACTCATTGGTTTCAATGAGTCCCCTCAGCTGGCTGGCAATTTCCTCCAGCTGGCCAGACAGCTGGGCGAGCAGCTCGGTCTTCTTCCTCTTCTTGAAGTTGCTCTCGTCCAAAGCCAAGCCAGGCTCCTTCTGGCCGCTGCTTGAAGCCAAGTTCTGCTTCTTCTGCTTGATGTTCTCCTGCTCCTTCTCCTCCCAGTCGATGCCCTCCGAAGGCAAGTCCTGCTTGTGCTTCTTCTGCACCTTATGCGCCTTCTTCTCCTTTGTGTCCTTCTCCGTTTGCTGCCCCTTGCGCTTGCCCTTCACCTTGTCCTCCTTCTCCTTCTCCTTCTTCTTCTTCTCCTTGTCCTTCTCTTTTTTCTTCTCGCTCTCAGCTAGCTGCTCCTTCTCTTTCTTCCCGCCATGCTGCTTTTTGTTGTCCTTGTACCTGGCAGCTCGGGCAGCCTCGGAAGCCTCGACAGACTTGGCCTTTAACACTTCGGCAGCCTCTGCCGCTTGGGCAGCCTTGGCAGCTTGGTGGGCCTCCTTCGCGGCTTGGGCCGCTTGTGCAGCAAGGGCGGCCTGCGCAGCCTGGGCAGCCTTGGCCTCCTTGGCAGCTTGGGCAGCCTCCTCGGCAGCCTGGGCGGCCTGGGCAGCCTCCTTGGCAACTTGGGCAGCCTGGGCGGCAAGCCCACCTTGCGCAGCTTGGCAGGCCGTTTCCGCAGCCTGGGCAGCTGCCTGGGCAGCTTGCCAGGCCTCCGCAGTGTGAGGAGCTGCCTCGCTGTGGGCAGCTTGTGAAGCTACCAGGGCAGCTTGGCGGGCAGCTTGGGCGGCCTCCTCTGCAGCTTGGGCGGCCTCCTCCGCAGCTTGGCGGGCCTCCTCAGCTTGGGCCTGCGCGGCCTCCTCGGCTTGGCGGGCAGCCTGGGCGGCTTGGCGGGCCTCCTCTGCAGCTTGGGCCTCCTCCGCAGCCTTGGCAGCTTGGGCCTCCTCCGCCGCAGCTTGGGCGGCCTGGGCAGCCTCCTCTGCAGCGTGGGCCTCCTCTGCAGCTTGGGCCTCCTCTGCAGCTTGGGCAGCTGCGGCTTGGGCCTCCTCCCGAGCTTGGGCAGCTTGGCCCTTCTTTACAGCTGGTGCATCCTCAGTTGCTGCAGCTGCCATTGCCGGCGCCTTTGACTTTGGCGCCAAGCCCTTACTGAGCTGCTGGGCCAGCTTGGCTTTTTGTGAAGCCACCTCAGCTGCCCGCGCCAGCGCTTTTGCTTCCTTCTCAGCTTTGACTGCTGCATCTTTCTTTGTAGCAGCTTCTGTGGCTGCCCTTACAGCTGCGTGGTGGGCTTCATGGGCTGCACGCAGCGAGGGCTCCACCCCGAACTTCGCCTTTGCCTTGACAGGCACCTCGCTTCCTGAGCCTCTTAGCGGGGGCCGGCTCTTCTTCTCCACGTTCTCGCTCCTCCGGGGCATGAAGACCGGCTTCGCCGGTGGCGGCGCCGGTGGCCTTTGGGATGACCTTCCCTGGGGTGGCCATCCGGGTGGGGGCCCTGGTGGCTGTGGCCCTGAGGCTGGCCGGGGGCGGCGGTGGCGGCGGCTGTTGCAACGGCATCCGATGCGCCGGCCGAGGAGGAACCACCTGCAGCTTCCGGACGGGCACCACTGCCGGTACTGCCGGGCTGTTGTCGTCCTGTAGGGGGAAATGGAAAAACATGTGGCCCACAGAAATGCAAAATGATTGATTGACAAGCCGACCAGCGTTCAAGGTGAGCAATGGTTTTAATTTCAATCAAAGAATCAATGTGGTTTCTCAATCCGCAGTCCTGCGGCATGTGCCGATGGCTGGGGCTGGCAGTGGTCTTCTTCTCAGGTGTCACAGGGGCGGCACTCATCGCGAAGGCGCAAAGCAAAGCTATGCTAGGCCTGATTTTCTATCTTAGTGTGCGCGCTTGTTAGCTTGTTAGCTGTGACCACGCTGACGAGTTGCTGCTCCCAATCCCATGCCATGCATCCAACCACTGAGCAAAAATTGCGATGGTGATGCTTTGTGCAAAGATTCCATGAAGCTGTCGCAATTATCACGAAATTAGCGGATCAACCATCATATTGATAACTCAGACTCTTGCATGTCAGTGAGTGGTCAGTTACCTATTCACTATCAAAGAACAGCAAAGACGCAAGAGGATCCTTCACTCTTAGGGACCCAACGAAAGTCAAACCGCACCTTTCCCCTCAGTGCCACGAAGCCAGCGTGCGAAACTGCAGAAGTACGGCGCCCACGCTCAAA